GTATAATCAATAATTGTAAATGTAAATGTTATCAGGAAATGATCAGACAGGAGAGGGTTTTCAGGAAACACTGTTAAATGTTCAGTTTCTATGCCATATGTTAGAACAAGATCAAAACCATCGCGTGTCCGCATTTTTATGTTCCACATAAACCTTTCACAATAAAGCTCAAGATCCTGTTGAGACTTTTCAAAATATTTACGGATGAGAAGTAAAAAAAGAGCCGCCAGGTGCTAAAAAAATAAACCTTAGACTCAAACGTTAGAACAGGCTGTTCCCCGCAGCACGTTGTATATTGGTTTCTCTTCTTCTTACTTTAGCACCTTTGCGGTTCAGCTACCCAATTTCGCTGTGCAAGAAACTGCACAATGACAATAAAAAGCTCTAAGTCTCTAAGTCTAAATACTCACAAAGAAAACGGCGGCCGTTACAACTTATGTCTAAAAATGTATAGTTTCATGCATCGGTTAAAACACTCGACTCCAGCTACATGACGCGCAGCTGGAAACACTTCCCGCAAGTCGAGCTGCCCGAGATTCACAGAATTTACAAAAATGTTATATTTTTGTGATTTATATCGTTATCAGGACGATAGAATTCTTATATCGGGATATGAGATTTTGGTCATATCGCACAGCCCTAGTGTCTGTTTTATCACCTCTTCTCCTCTCACTGTCCATCTGTCCTGTGACACACAGACTGGATATTCATGGAGGAAGCCTGAGACGTCTGCTCCATGAGGTTTGTGGTCTATACCACTACTACCTGCAATTAGGGGACAGAAGAATCATAAACAAATGCATTAACATATAATTCCCAGGTTAAGCCAAAAGTGTACATTTCCACCTTGTTATTTTTATACTCTTAACACCTTATGAAATACTGTGATGATCAGGATTTTATGTGCATTAACATGCTATAAATGAATTTCTGATAAATAATAACGTTTGTTAAATAAAATATCCTACTTTTGCAACCTTAGACATTGTAGACACAGAGATGTCAAATAAAGTTGCATCAGAAACAAACATATCACAGTGTAATGTACACAGCTGCTAAGGCCTTACCAATAGGTGGTATGTTCTTGTTCAGGGAGCCACTTTGTTCCTGGAAAAATTACAAGCACTTACATGACTTTTAACCCATTAGAAATATCAGTATAACGCATGACTCACACTATAAAACAAACATAGCGGTGGTTTAAAGGTACTGGGGTGCAATGATTGTTTAATCAATTTTGTCCATAGCCAAAGTTTTTTTTCTTTGTTTATTCTGCATTTGTATTTGTTTATTCCCTCTTTTATACCAGGACCACAAAGAAATCTTTCTTACTTCAAATAAACGGCCCTGTTTTTCCTCTTCACATTATCTTAACATTTAGCCAGCACCTAACTGATGCTGACATTGGTGTAAATATAATTGCGTTCCTCCAGTGTCATCACAAAGCAAGAACCGAATTATAAAATTGATTGCAACAATCTTTGTGTTTTATGGTTTTATAGACAGCTGAGGCGAAACACTTTTTTCGACCACTTCTTTTAGGGGTCACCACCACAGTATATATGATCTGGCACCATCTCACCCCATCTCTAGCACTGCATCCATGGATCTTCCCTGTGGTCTTTCTCTGTTCTTCCTGCCTGGCAGCTCTATTCTCAATATCCTTTGTCCAGTATATCTGCTATCACTCTTCTGCACATCCAAACCATATCATCCTTGCCTCTCTTACTTTGCATTCTCTCCTTTTACCAGTCAAGCTCCTTACATTTAAAGACCCTACTCTCACCTCCACATTCAGGCCTTTCCTTTTCTATGGATGACTCTGAAGACTCCTTCGCCCTTCCTCTTCCCTTGCCTTCAGCCAACAGTGGCTCATTCTCCACCACAACCCTGCTGGCAAACAGCACCGAAGGCGGTTGTTGTTAACCCGATCTGTCCTGTCAGTATTATTGATGATCTGTATGTTTGATTTGGCAAAGATTTTATACCCAATGCCCTTTCTGCTCCCCCCCCCATTTATCTAGGCTTGGGCCCAGGCACTAACTGAAACAACAATTAATAAACTGTAATTAGTCTAAAAATCTAAAAGTAAATGGTCTGTATTTGTATAGCGCTTTACTTAGTCCCTATGGACCCCAAAGCGCTTTACACTACATTCAGTCATCCACCCATTCACACACTGGTGATGGCAAGCTATATTGTAGCCACAGCTGCCCTGGGGCGCACTGACAGAGGCGAGGCTACCGGACACTGGCGCCATCGGGCCCTCTGACCACCACCAATAGGCAACGGGTGAAGTGTCTTGCCCATGGAAGGACACAACGACCGAGACTGTTGGAGCCAAGGCTCAAACTGGCAACCTTCCGATTACAAGGCAAACTGCCAACTCTTGAGCCACGACTGCCCAGAAAAGTACAGAAAATGTAGCACAGTTAAAATTCAAAGATGTTAAAAAGACAGCGTCCCTGCAATGGAATATACACAGCACTGCAACTCGGTGCAGAAACATGATTCAAAAATCCCCAGAATAGTGCACCTGGTGAAGCATCTTGGTGCTATGCTCCTCTGCATCTGATCCTGCTTCCTCCAGGTCCTCAACATCCATCAAAAAGTCTTTGTATGACCTTTTGTTTTCTCTGTGGGTGCATCCACTCACTATTTCTGCTTCACCATCCATCTAGACCAACAGAAGAGAGATCAATGATTCAGACAGCAGGAACTCTAAGTACAGTGAAGTTGCATGATAACACAGTAATGTGAGATAAAGTTGAGCATGTACAGTCTGCTTATTCAATGACCACTTCGTATACTTTCTGTTTACTGTGAGGATTTTATATGCTCTGAAGTTTAGTCTGACCAAACATGAAGGCTGGATAAAGCTAATAAAAGGTTGCAGCAGCTAATAAAAGGTTGCAGCAGGGACTCGCCGTCTCTCTAAGGTTTATGGGCCTAAATTGCTGAAGATAAAACATTCTCACCTGGGCGAGTAAATGAATAGCTCACCTTCAGCAGACTGCTGACTGTGCAAGGCAAATAAATTATCTAAGGCTAGTGCTAGCTAGACGCTAGTTATGTGTGCTAGCTAGTGAGGAAAACAAGTTGTTTTGAAGTCCTCTGGTTCAACATTAATTTAATGTTTGTAATAATAGCAGTTAAGCAGTGGGCTTTCTACTATGCCCAAAACAGGGGTTGTCGAAGCTTGTGGGGTTTTTTTTTTTAAATCTAAAATAAATACAAACTGATAAGACCGAGCAGAGAACAATTTCAAACACGTCTCACATCGATGTCTGTCCTCCTTTCGTTTTGTTTCCACGTTTGACTAAAAACTATCCTTAATTCCGGAAAATGCCGGATTTTGGTCCGGTAACATGAAGCACACGACCTCTAACAAGCTCCTAAATCTCGGGCCAGCTCTGTCACAGACATTCCTGTGGTAAACTCACTGTGCTGCTCAGCTGTATACGTGTGAAGCAAAGCCTGCTGACTCACGTTTAGCGCCCGCCCTCCCCTCCCTTCCCTTCCCTTCCCTTCCCTCTCTGTCGGTCACTACGCTGTGCTGAGTCACGTTAAGCCCGAGTGAAGCTTTGTGATTTTATACCTGCAGATGGCTGAGCAGATGCACGGCAGTCTGCAGTTTAGTGGCACATTTTTCAAATCATATATAACATAGAGTTGTGCTTTTTTATGTTATTTTTTTGTCCATGTAGGTTGTAATTACGCATTGAAACGTTTGGCCTTTTGACAAAAAAACAGATGTAGCGGTATTTTTTTCATCGCTTTGTCTCAACTGATTTCAAGTAGTCACGTATTTTAAATGCCATTTTTATTTAGGCCTTTACATAAAACGTCTAAGCACAGTTTATAGTCAAAGCTATGTAGACACCCATATGACAAACATACCTTATTTTCACTTAAAGTGAATATATGATAATAATCGTTCTTTATAAAAGACCAGAGGTTTAAGCATACTGCCAACCACGTAGAGGCTGGGAGTTGTTTCGCTGGAAGAGCTGCTCAGAGTGAAGCGGTTTTCTGTTTCCTTTGCCTCAAGATGGCTCTATAAATAACTCAAATTAAACTAGGTTGGACAGTAGTGTGGTTCCAGTTTTGTTCCTGTAGTTCAAGACCTCCGACCTTTACTCCTTCAAGCAGCTTCTGAGGAAAATTAAAATTGGGAACACTTTGCTGACTTCTTTTAATGTTGCACTGCAGTAGAGCTCTGCCAGATTGCAAAACCCCATGAAAAGATTTCTGAGTAACAGTTCTAGGAGGGGTCCAATAGGATGAAGATAAAAGCAGTGACGCTCTTTTAGTGGATGACAGAAGATTTTTGCAGATTATAATCTCTTTTAGATACTTGCACTATTAGGTAATCAAGGATGAAGACTTCCCAGAAGGGTAGAGGCTGTTTACAAGAGCATATTAATACCCTCTGAATCAGTATGAATTGATCACATCTGTATATAATGCTCAGAGTCACAGTCACTCATGAATGACATATTGTGGAAGAAATAATTTTAAAAGCTTTGTTTTATTTCAGGCTAGTCACAAATAAGTTTTGGGCTTAACTTCTGTGTGTAAAGATGATATCAGTAGCTTTTTACTATTGTTTACATGGACTAAATGAACAGTATCGACTCTTGTTTGTCAAAAATACTCCTCCACTTTGTCACTGAATGTTGATAGACTTGTGTAATATGACAAACCTGCTCTTGTTTCTGATCAAATGCACAGCATTAGTCACTGTTTAAACACTTCCTCTCTCACAGCTTTGCAAACTCACACTGTCATGCTTAGCGCTCAGCTCCTCCTCCCCTGTGTGGCTCTACTTTGGAATCTGAAGTTGCAGCATCATGTTTAGCGCTCAGCCCTCCCCCCTGGTTTTCCAGGGAACTCCCTCCTCACACTCTGGTAGTCCTTCCCTCAGCAGTTTTCCTCAAAGTTGCCGTATCATGTTAACTCCTGGTCCCCTCCTACTATTGTTGCTGATGTTGCCGTGTCATGTTTAGCCCAGTTTTTTTTTGTTGAGGCTGAGTTCCTGTTTGTGTTGAGCTGGTGGTGGGAGGAGGAGACTGAAGCGGATCGTATAAAGAGAAGCGTGAAAGCCAGCAGAGCACACAACTGCACTGGACATCCAGAGAGAAACTAAGGGCACAGATCAGACTTCATTCTTACTGGTGAGTCAAACGAGATATCATACTTTAAATTTGACAACCTTTTGTCGATTTATATCCACAGTGTTCTTCTCACCATATCAGAAAAGGATTTATGCTCTGTTAAAGTACCTTTCTGACATCTTTACTGTCCTTTACTGTTTTTTCAGGGGCACAATGGAAACCGAGAAGAAGACGCATACAGCAGCAGAGCAGATGACCGACAGGTTAGACTGAGCTGCTGTGATTTTATTAAGAACCTAAATCTTCTTTTCCGCTCCATGCACATTTTTCTTTTAATGTCTGGGGATAGATTTAGTTTTCAATCAGCTCTGTGACATCCAACACATATCTCAAGTAGCAGAATATGTTTGGGAAGCTTATGAGCTACATAAACATTTCTAATCACAATATCATAATGGAAGTTTACTTTGGATGCACATATTTGCCCTACATGTTTTCTAATGATTACTGCTCTTAGCCTTGTGTCACTGCCTTTATCTTAGCTGCAATACATTAAATGTTGTTGTCTTTCTCTTCTAATTGTGATCAATTTCTTTTCTCAGGGACTTGTCTGAACAAATAAAAAAAGTGACTAAGGAGAGTCACGTTAGAGCAGAAAACACAGAACTGATGCTGAGCTTCCAGAGGGGAAAGGTCACGCTTCCGCAATATAAGGTAATATTAAAAAAAGGACAGCACAATTGTTTAAATAATCTTACTTTTGTGGGGGGCGATACCAAGATTTAATGGCTTTGTGTCTCTTCTTCTTCAGCTCCTCCTGTGTTCGCTGTATGAGATCTACCAGGCTTTGGAGGAAGAGCTGGACAGGAACTCGGACCACCCGAGCGTCGCACCTATTTACTTTCCTGCTGAACTGGCCAGGCTGAAGTCCATTGAAAAAGATCTGGAATACTTCTATGGTCAGGACTGGAGAGAGAAGATTGTCATTCCTGCAGCCACTAAAAGATACAGCCACAGGCTCAGACAGGTATGTTTTATTTAAACCTTCCATGAATCACATGCATGTTTCTATCTCTGCTAGGTGATGGTCAATTAACGCTCTTGATAACTCCATTACCATTTTTTAGATTGGCAAAGAAAACCCTGAATTCCTGCTTGCCCATGCTTACACCCGGTATCTGGGTGACCTGTCTGGGGGACAGGTTCTTGGTCGGATCGCTCAGAAGTCCATGGATCTGAAAAATGGTGATGGTCTGTCCTTCTTTGCCTTCCCTGGGGTGTCCAGCCCCAACCTGTTCAAACAGCTCTATCGCAGCCGAATGAACAGTGTGGAGCTGACAGAGGAGGAGAGGAACGGTGTGCTGGAGGAGGCTGTCAGGGCCTTTGAGTTCAACATTCAGGTAAGGAGGTGTGATAATCTAGGAAGGACAGATCGTAAAGCAAAAGTGCCACTCAGAGGGCAGCTGAACCTTAGATTAGCTCCATCTTACACTTACTAATATTTAGCTACAGCAGCTGATAGATGCTCTGTTGTTTGTGTTACAGGTCTTTGAAGATTTACAGAAGATGCTGACTGTCTCTGACAACAACCTGCAGAGCTCCATGACACAGTCCAAGCCAGTAAAGGCGAGCACACTCCACATGTCAGAAAACATTTACACTTCCTCGCTGCTCAGGATGGTCCTGGGACTGTTTGTGGCTCTGGCTACTGTCAGTGTGGGAATGTACGCTTTATGAAAAGAAACTCAAGAAATACTGTGAAATGAAGTGTTGCTGTTGAGGTTTGAAATCTTTGCTTTGGTACTGTAAACCTAAAAGCAGAAAAATCCCCACCTGATTATAACTGTAAGATTTTAAAAACATGTACAGATCACAAAATACTGTGTAACATTTATGTAATTTATCCATAAGAACCATTCACACTCACACATACGTACAATAAGTGTAATAGTTTCTGAATCTGTTGCACTGATATCCCTTGTGGTTGAAAATGTGCAATGTGTGTGCTTTAAATACTGTAAATATATATGAACCTTTTAATAAAATATTCTGCTGAAAGAAAATATCTCTATCGTACTGTATCGTGAAATTTTTCTGCTTTAGTACAGTGATCATGAAGTTCATTCTAGTAATGAGCATTACTCTGCTGATGTTGAGGGTCCAGCTGGTGGACATGTCCACTAATGTTCTGGCACCCGACCACATGCCTGCTGTTCATTTGGCTCTTAGTCATACAAGAGTCTGGATGCGGGGAGCAAGTCCTTTTTATATGATTTAAACACTAAATAAACTCACTTGCTGGCAAGCCACCCACAGCACGCTTAAGTGTTTTTGCCTCCATCAGACTAACATCTGCTTAACAAATGTTGCAAGCTAAAAAAAAAAAACCTTATTTCAGTTTTACTCAGCCCAAAGTGATATGTTTAAACTGTTTGCTTAAAACATAAATCATTTTGCCTGATAACGATTATCGTCTTTTTTAAAGTGATCCTGAGTCATACATTTCTAGACTTTCTAAAGGTGTTTCAGCATTTTTCTTTGGACATTGGCTGCATGGATCATTCAAGCATAAACAGGTGACTAACTAACAAACCAGTTTTGTGTCTAAATGTAAAGACAACTTAACAAAGAAACCAATTTGTTCCCATTTCCTTAAAAAAAGCTTGATGTATCTCAGCATGGTGTGAAATGTGTCTATAAACAATATGAGGAAACAAGAAGACAAAAGAAGAAATAGCGTGATTAAAAAAAGCTATCTACAGCAAATGAACAAATAAATGCCACATACTTAAAAAAACAGGAAGAAACTCAAGCAGACCTCACATAGGGCATAAGAGATATATCTGGAATTTCAGTTGATCCATCTGCTGCTCACTATAGCCTCATTAGAAATGGTCTCAGTGAAAGGGTGGTTGTGAAGAAGCCATTCCTAAGGAAGCAAAACAAAGTGAAAAGACCGAGGTATGTCAAAGTACACAAAAACTGAAATGACAATCAGTAGCAATCAGGTTTTAAGAAGTGATGAGTAATCAGTGGCGCTCTTTCGTGGTTTGGGGCTACATTTCAACCAGTGGCTTTGAGGATCTTGTGAAAACTGATGAATTTATGAACACAGCAAAGTGCTGTAATACTGTCTGAAAAGCATCTAATTGCCAACGGCTTCATTTTTCAGCACTATAATCAGCAAAACAATGCAAACGCACTATGTAGAAAAATACCCAGTGGAACTGTCACTTTTGGATTAGCCTCCCCACAGACCAGACCTCAACATTGTTAAAGTACTGTGGGATCCCTTTGAACAGGCAGCTAAGATACAAAAACAGAAGAGCTTTGAATATCCTTCAAGAAGCCTAGAGAACTATCGAAGGCGATCGTGGCTCAAGAGTTGGGAGTTTGCCTTGTAATCAGAAGGTTGCCGGTTCGAGCCCCGGCTTGGACAGTCTTGGTCGTTGTGTCCTTGGGCAAGACACTTCACCCGTTGCCTACTGGTGGTGGTCAGAGGGCCCGGTGGCGCCAGTGTCCGGCAGCCTCGCCTCTGTCAGTGCGCCCCAGGGTGGCTGTGGCTACAATGTAGCTTGCCATCACCAGTGTGTGAATGGGTGGATGACTGGATATGTAAAGCGCTTTGGGGTCCTTAGGGACTAGTAAAGCGCTATATAAATACAGGCCATTTACCATTCCTGAAGACTATGAGAAATGACAAGATATTTGAGTTCAGATTATGTTAAAGAATAAAGGCGATCATACCAATATTAACTTCCAAGCTCATAATAATTGTACTGACATTTTCTGACTGTACTTGATTTGCAGTTACGTTTGTGCATTTCCTGTTTTTCTAAGAAAACACAAAGAAATGAGGGCTGACTCATTCTGAGCTGTGACACTGATGACACATTCTTTGAAGCTTTTCATGTAAAGGTGTAGACAGCCAATCCACTTCAGGGATTAACTATCAAGTTTTAACATCTTGCACACTGTCTATACTCAGTGGGCTTAACTGTTATCAATACGAATCAGTCATTTATGGAAATAAATTATTTTAGTGCTCAGTTAAACACAGAAGACTATAACGCAGTCGTATGCAATGGTGTTTGAGATAAATACATGCTCTGTTCCTTAAGGAATCTAAAGATTTATTTAAATTTTTTTTAAATTAAAGTCAGTTTTGTCTGTTTCTTAAGTTCTAACCCACTACCCTCTCCAGCTGAGAGGTTGAGAATGTGTTTCAATACAATATTTAATGCAGAAACAAAACATCACGCTTGTATAAGATTTGGTATCCACTTTTATTGTGGTTTCATGGATTTCCTAAAACCTGTGCACTTGTAGCACAAGTCATAAATCAAAAGACAGAATGACTGTTGATTGTTAACAGCAGCCAGATCACATTTCTGGCTTCATCCTAGGCCTGTTTCATCGTGACACAAATCACTACATTGCTGGTATCTGCCTCCTCCTAGAGGACAACTAAAGAAAAACAAAAGTAATGTCATAAATGATTGTACTTCACAGGAAATTGGCTTACCTCAACCTTAAAAGGCACAGTATGTGCACAGTAAATCACAAATTTCCTTTTACAGTCATACCGTCAATGTGTAACAACTGAAATCATGCTTTACATTGAAGATACATTCCTTTCTACTGCTGTAGCTTCTGTTTTTGCCATTTCTCATCTTTGTGCATTATGCAACGATAACTGACAGCACATGTCCAACACCAAAAGCATAAAAATCACATTCCATTACCAGACGTGGAAGCTTTGGAAATGCATCACGTGCTCATTTAGAAGGCATTCGGCGCACAATCCAAAAGCTTCAAACAAGAAAAGGAGCGGAAACTACATTACATTTTACAACTGAGGGGGTTAACTCACAATGTTAGCTTGACATGACGATCTCTATCCAACAACCCATAAAATGCAAACATACACACATAGAAAAAACACCATTATCGAAATCTACAAGCTACACACTATCAGGTGACAGACATCTTATCTCAAGGTGCTTTAAGGGTGATTGCACGGTATATTGTGTCTTTGTTATTGACTGTAAAGGACAAACTACGGGTTGAGAGCACAAACTTAAGGCAAAGCAAAAGCTGAGGATTCATATTGTGGGAAAGCAACAGAAACATTCACATATAGTCAAAGCAGCTAAAATAAAACTGGAGTAATTTTCAAAATATGCTCAAAAGCTGAATTGACACCATTTTATCTCATGGCATAGCTTCAGGAAAGTGTGATTTGTGAAGTTTTATGTATACTGACGTATGCTTTTCAGTAGAGAGCATTGTGTTTAGGTGACATTCAAGATCACAAGTTTACTTGGAGAGTGCAGTTACTTCACTTCATGTGTTCACTGGAAATTCTGACAATGATTCCCACTTGATCAAAACAATTATGCATTTCCTCCATTTAGAGAACATGCTACACATCACACATCGTGAAAGAGGGTGCAAATTACACAAAGGCAAAAATAAGTGTAAGTCATATGAAAGTGAAATTACTGTGCAGTAATATTTTGCTACTTGTACAGCTCCTTCATTCGTTGTATTTGGCACATCTTCCTTCTGCCAAAGCATGCTTTCCAAGTCTGACTAGGTGCATTTCAGGCCTACAGAGTGTGCTGTAGGACACAGTTGTTTACTTGTGTGTATTAACAAGCACCCAACAAACATCTGCATCATGCCACATCCCCTCATCTATCTGTTGGAACAGCTATGACAGTTTTGGCTAAAAAGGTGCATTACTTTTAGGCAGAAGCAGCCACCAGGGGCCGCTCAGTTGGTTTCGTAAGTAGACAGCAGGGCTGCATCTACGGGCTCCATGCAGGAGGGGCAGGTGAAGGAACGCATCAGCCATGGGTCGATGCAGTCCACGTGGTAGATGTGAAGGCAGGGCAAAAACCGAATGGGGTCGCCATATTCAAAATCCAACATGCAGATGACACATCTGGAGGGGAAAAAAGTGAAAAGATTTACCAATACCCGAAGACTTTGATATATTACAAAAAAAAGCATCTCAAAATACAATCAATAACTCATACGATAACTCATCTTCTGTGCTGTGACATAATCTTAGCCAGAGGTTGTTTTGTTGCCCCAATGTATAAATCACAGCAATGCTCCTGGCACTTAAAAACGTATATTATATTACTCTGTTTGTGTCGGGGGACCCAATTCTTGGTCCCCGCAGAAGAGCTAACTCGTCAGGCCAGGACTCTGCAGTCTATTTACACTTACAGGCCAGTGGCCTCTCTTTCAATGATGAGGATGTACACATCAGGGAGGAATGCTAGTTTGTGAGAGGAGTCAAGGAGGCCATTTATGTGAAAAGGGAAAGACCATCTCTGAATCGAGAAGGGGGCCTAAGGGTATATTTTTCACCATCTTACATTGCTGTGATTGCTGCTTTGCTCTGAACTTTGACAGCCTTTTGTGTTACTCGCAGCAACAACTCCACCTCATTGTTAGTCCATTTAAAAAACTCAGTGCTTTTCCTCAACATTCTGCCGCAACGTTTCAAAGAGCCGGAAAGTAAATAAGCGGCAGAGAGAAATGAGGCAGGTCGAATCTTCTTGCGCTTCACGCATGCGCAGAACTGGAATGTAAGCGTTTTCGGCCGTTTTAATGTGGACGCACAACTCTATGAAAATGACTGAAAACGCTAGTGTGGACGCGGAGCGTTTTCAGACGCTGTTCTCAAATCTATCCGGGCTAGTGTGGACGTAGCCTTAGATGAGTGACGAAATGTTTCTCCCACTGAAAACGCTACGTCCAGAAGAACAGAATCAACTTTTTGGGATTTCCTTACCTGGATGATTGAGCGTGCATTAAGATGCGAAAGCTTTGTGTTCTTGGACAGTGGAACTATTCAAAGATTTCTGAATAAACTATTAGTAACTGCATTTCAAATGGGGGGATCAAAGCGAGATGTAAATTGAAACAAATGAGAGTGCCACCATTTAAAACTCACTCTTTAACTTTCTTCTCAGAGGCGTCAGAGCCTGGATCAAAGATGCCTTTGGGAAGATGCTGGATGAGTCCTATGCGCTGTGCG